AAGCGCGACTTGTATAGGGACATGGCTCGCTAAACAACCACGAAGAGAACCAGCCCGTACCGACACACTCTTCTTCTCTTCCTCTCCTTCGCCTCCGCGTCCGGATTCTAACCCTACGGTGTCCTACGGTGTAAAAGCTGTTACGACGTTGAAGTTGCAAAAAAAAAAAAAAAAAAGAAGAGAGGAAGAAGAAAGAGAATGACCCGTGGATCGTGCGACAAAAGCTCGTTGGCCGGAGGAATTCGAGAACGCGGTAACCCCCCGAAACAGAAGAACCGATATATGGAAACGGCATTAGCCAAGCTAATGCACCTCCATTTGCTAAATATCTCTATCTCGTCAGGCACCGCGATGCGAACCGAAAAAAAAAAAGAAACAAAAACAAAAGAGAAACGTATAAAACGATAAAAGGATAGAGAGAATTATTAATATATATATATATATATATATATATCATTGTCCCCTGTATGGATATACAGAATTCCGTGAGTTTAAAAGCCCACCATATTGGGTCCTTCTCCCGCTCGTCGTCGTCGTCGTCGTCGTCGTCATCGTCGTCCGTTGTCGTCCGTGGTCTATGGGGGCCCCCACGAAGATACGTTATTAATCGGGCGATGTCAGTGGTTCGACCCCTCATAGAGAACCCATAGAATCCCGTTCGGTAAAAGGGACAACGAGGTGGAGGCAGAGGAGGGGGGAGGTGGACCCCGAGCATCTCAGTATCGGCTCGAAGTCGAACAAGGAGGGCGATAGAGAGGCTCGCACGGGGCCTGAGAAAAGGCAGAAGCGTGCGAGGAAGAAGAAAGGGAGAGAGCGTGCGCGCGTGTGTGTGTGTGTGTTCACGCGAGAGAGAGAGAGAGAGAGAGAGAGAGAGAGAGAGAGAAAGAGAGAGAAGCCAGTAACGAAGAAGGAAAGAAAGGAGACGAAGAAGCAGAGGGAAACGAAGAGAATAAGGAGGAGGAGGAGGAGAAGAAGAAGAAGAAGAAAAGAGGAGCGGAGGCGTGGGGCAGAGCGGGGTGAAGGGGGCAACAGAAGAATGGGACTCACTTCGTGCATGACCCAAAGAAACCCCTGCTGAGCGACTCGATCCGATCCGCTGATCCCCGACCGCGCTGACGCAGATACCATCTTTCCTTGCACTCCGAATGCTCTCCGGGCGTTTCTTACCGCCCATATACCTCGGCCGTCTCTCCGTCCCGGCCGCGACCAGCAAAGAGAAGAGGGAATATTCTATCCGAGACAGCTATATGACCGCACTGATTTGTCTGCTTATTGTTGCCCGTTCCCCGTCTCCTTGTTCTCCGATCGTGACGATGACGCGACCGTCCGCGAATATTCTTTCCACGAACATCGGCAATTCCGCTTCCTTGCGTCGAATAAGCCCCCCCGCCCCCCTCCCTGACGAACAAACGTGGACGAAACAGTGTGGGAAACACTAGGTCTCCGATTCAGAAAAATAACGAAAAAAACGAGGCCGATCTCGTAGCTCGATGAATTACGTACGCTATAACTTTGGACACGTACAAACGTATATATATATACACACACACACACACACACACAGTTGACAAGAGTACGTTTCAATTCTTTATACATAACATCGCGTTAATAAAATGTTATGTAAATACAAATATATATATATATTATAATATAATACGTAATAATACGTACTAAAATAACATAATACGTATATAATACGTAATATATATATATATAAATATTATAATATAATACGTAATAATACGTACTAAAACAATATAATACGTATATAATACGTATTACATACGTATTATATTATTTTAGTACGTATTATTACGTATTATATATATATGTATATATAATTTTATTAACGCGATGTTATGTATAAAGAATTGAAACGTACGCTTGTCAACTGTGCGTTGATCATAGTGAAATATTTTCCAAAGTCGCTTCAAAGATAATATTTGGTTCAGGGATCCCTGGGCCCGAAATATTACAGGCGGACGATTTTTAACTACCCTTGCACTAGCAACTGGTTCGCGGACCATAACGAGTGACCGAACCGTATACAATAAGTAATAGACTGTATCAAGAAGTAATAAACTGATCATATTTGTTTTGCCTGGGTTACATTTAAAATATACTTGAAACTGAAAAATTGTTGCAATTCTCGGACAAACAATTCTCGAGGTTAATTCAGAGATTTTGTTCACTCCGACAAAGAGTGTCTCCGTCTTCAAATAAAATCTTCATTTCCAATAAAAATCCAACGATTTAACCTGACGATCAATTAGTCCCAGTTAGAATTCAATCCGAGCAAACTTCGACCGGATCGGAGATTACAAGTCGAAGCTACGCTTCTTAATCCGACACACCTCGACAGAAACTATATCGTAGATTGAAACATCGAATTCAAATCAAGCTCGAAGGAATGTCAGAAAGGAATTTATTCCAAGTTTCGTCATCGATGATCCCCCTCTCCCGAGTGTTATCGGAACGCTAACGCGTATTTGACACGGTACGTGATAGCCTATCGAGCCGATCGTGTGAACTACGCTTTAAGGACAGACTGTAGCCTAAACTGTCGATACTTGGAAACGTAATTAACGACACTGAGAGAGCTTCCTGCGGAGCCTCGTGCGGCTCGTTAGATAACCGTAGTATGTATGTCCGAAGGTCTTTGCATAAATTTCACGTTTTCGTGTTGCCGCGTGTCCGCGTAGAACAGAAATGGATAGACAGAAGTCGGTGGTGTATCGGTATTTTCGATCTCTGCCAATAACCAACGAGAAGGCCCGGTTCGTCGTCCGTTACCTTTGAATTTTAATGACAAACGAACAGAGCCACGCCGTGGTTTCACGACTCGGTCGCGAACGATTAATTGTACTCGTGTTCCGAGCTACTTAAAGGAGGTAGTTACAAGATCCGGCACTGGGCGAATAATTAAAAAGTCAAATTTATTCATACGCGTGTCACGCTGGAAATCGGACGGTTGACCAGCTCTCAGGCTCTCGGTCAACCGGCTATTGTTTCGTCATTTCACGAGATACGGGACTCTCGCTCCTCCTGGCACGCCTAAGCCGTTTTTAGGGGGCAATAATCGATGGCACGCACTTTGTCAATGACGGCCGAACTCCGACTAATTACCAGGAAGATCGATGCGTTCCACCGGCGGGGATTACATAAGCTTGAAAGATCGTCTACTACACTACGGGCGCTTCCATGTTTAGTATTCTTCGACGTCGTCGAGATCACGTCGATGGGTTATGAAGGAATCGATCGCGAGGCGAATGAGAAAAATTGATGTTACATTCCTGATAAGCTGCTCCGGATATCTGACAAATTCAGATGAAATAAGTATACGTATGTACATAGTATACGATGTATAATATATACGTATATGGACGCAATTACAATTATTATACTTTTTGATGAATTCTTCTAAATTGATGTCAACCGAGATTATTAAGAAAATAACGTTATTGAAAAGTAATTTTTCCTTTTCGTCCGAGTTTGGCAAAAATTCAGAGGGGAGGAGGGAAGAAATCGACGAAGACGAAGAAATCTACCGTTTCGTTGTAGATTCGGCGATTCCCCATTGCCGAGCGTAACAATTCAACCACAACGTCGTGGAGCTTCCACGTGGAATATAAAGTTTCGGTACGGTTACTCCGATAAATTTTTCCACGATCGCGGGAGAGCGACCCCGTTCGTCGATCGAGAAGATGCAGTAGCCATCGACTATAGTCGCGATGCTTTTCCAATAGATACCACGCCGTTGTGTGTTCCTTCGAGCATCGCGTCGTTTCGATACACTGGCTTCTGGTAGTCACATAAACCTTGGCCGCTGACGTGACTGAGAATTTAATGAAATGAGACATGCACAAGTCGGATCGAAAAACTAACTTTCTCACGATTCTTCGCATGCATACCGTGACTTCGCCGCAACAACGGCCCCCGTAGATTTATATTGATTGCACATAATTATATCCTGGTGACTGATAAAACTTCCAGACACGTCTTCTCTCTTTCTCTCTCTCTCTCTCTCTCTCTCTCTTTCTCTCTCTCTCTCTTCGTCCTTTTATTTTTATTTTTTTATTTCTTTCTGTTTTCTTCATTTAACGCGAGATAACTCTTCTGTTAATTAGAAACTCGCAACACCGATGATCGAAGATCGATCGCGAGCAACTTTGAGATCATTTTGTTCGTTTTATTGTTTCAATATTTTCATTGATTTCTGATTGGGTTACGTTTACGAATACATTTTCATTGTACCGTCTTCTATATTCAACAAGTACAAATTGTTGTTGGCAAGTGTTCAGCATTTCATTAGATTTTCAGCATACGAATGAACGTGTCATGTTATATTACAATTAAAATCTTATATTGGAATGTCATCGTGGCGTGTATCATTTTTCAATTTTTTGTTCATATAGGTCTGACAATATTGTATTTTATATTATTGGATCAAGTGTATCTTAATAACGATTATAATTATTAAAATAATAATACAATTTGCAAAAGCCTGTTATGGACCGATTAATTTACATAATTATATTATATTTCATTGATTCTTCAAGAGTTGATTTAAATCAACAAATAAATGGGTGTCCGCTGAAGCAATAATAATAATAATAATAACTTCTTTTCCTTTACGTAATAACGATCGAGGATCGAATGAAAAAATAACAGCTCGACAAGTCTTTTAACCCCTTGCGCTGGCAACTGGTTCGCGGACCATAACGAGTGACCGAACCGTATACAACAATTCGTCGCTTTCTCTTTCTTTTGAACTCGTGTCGCTATGATATCGCTGGATAGAAATAAACTTATAACGTTTGTTTTGGCTGGGGTTACGTCTAAAAAAACTGAGAAAATGTTGCAATTTGGGGCACAAAATGGTTAACGCTGCGAACGACTTTTAAATCGTACAGCTCCTCTATCCCACGCCTGGCACGCAGCGTGCAATTACGACGCAATTGTCACGACACGATCTGACGTAAAATTTGTTTTAATTACAGGTTCGCGTGACGGTTCTAGACAAGAACGACGTGGCACCAACGTGGGGCAGCGGCACCTGGAAATTCAAAATCTCCGAGGAGGCGCCGCCCAACACCGTCGTCACCGTCCTGAAAGCGTTCGATCCGGACACGATCGGTACCCTGACGTACACTTTGGTACCAAATCATCGTGCCGTTACCAGCCCCGGTCTCGCCGATGACGAGGAGACCCAGTGTCAGTTTAGGCTTCATCCGACCACGGGACAACTGACGCTCGCGGAGGCCCTCGACAGAGAGGCCAGAGAGAAATACGTCCTGAAAGTTCGAGCCGATGATGGATTGCAGCACACGGACATCGCGTTAACCATTCAGGTACGTTTCGTTTTCATATATCATCTCGGTTGACTCGGCATAATTTTTTATCCAACCGCGATCGGTTGCCTCTAATTAGAGGATGCTTCGGGTTGGACTTTCCGATGGGATTATTGCCCGTGGTATGCTCGATCGCATCGTCGGGCGTCGATAGCGAAAAGTTACTACTCGTTGCTGTTCGTTCGCGCAGCGGCCCCGCGAGAGAGACACGACGGCGCGGCGTTTCGTTTTTAGAAGAAAGACAAAGCGAAAGACAGGAGCAGCAACAGGAGAGGAGAAGACTCGCGAAGAGCGAGGAAAGGACATCGATCGCGTATCGAGTACCGTTGGACGCTGATTATCCTGTAATTATAAGGGGGATACTACTGTTACCTTGATCATTGTCCAATCCACCGTCCCGTTATTCAACCATTATTGATCATTGCGGAATCAATCGATATCAGTCGTGATAAATCGATCCAGACATAGAAAAAGAGAGAGAGAGAGAGAGAGAGTCCATTGTTCGAAATGACATTTTCGTTGATAGAGTACCATATACGGAGCGGTAGAGATGAATTTCTGTTTCCGTGCGATGGAAATCGGTCAAAGTCTCCGCTATTTCAGAGGTTCTATGGGTAGATTCGAAGCTCGGATCGAGAAAAAGGCAAACGAGGACAATTTTCTCGAACGTCGGGTCTCGATTCGGAGCGGACGTTTCCGCGACGTTCCGCTCCTTATAATTCATTACCGGTGGCCGAGCGAGAACGATTCACCGAAAGCGATAAAAAAAAAAAAAAAAAAAAGAAAAAACGCAAAGAAGATCGGCCGAGATGTTTAACGAAGGTGGTGGGCAAGATCGCGGCGGGCAGCAGGGGAAGGGAGGCCACAGGCCAGCCAAAGGATCCCTCGGAGACAATCGCAAAAATTATCCTTATGACGTGCAATGGCTGGAATTCTTTTAAGGTTCTCGGCTGGCCGCCGTCCGCTATTCTATCCGGGTCTCTTAAAGGCAAAAGGAATGCCAGCCCCGATCATAGCTCGGCTCTTTGGGGCTCCGTGAAAGAGGCCCGCTGCCGACAGTTGCGGAATCTGCCCCTTCTGGCCCCTTATATCCTCCCCTCCCTCCTCCCTCTCCTTGCTCGACCTCGCAAGAGTTTCTCTCCTTCGACCTCCTCCCCTCTTCTTCTTCTTCTTCTTCTTCTTCTTCTTCTTCTCCTTCTCCTTCTCCTCTTTCTTCTTCTTCTTCTTCTTTTTCTTCTTCATCTTCTCCTCCAGTCCTTCTTCCTTTCGTCCTCATCCCCCTTCTTCCAATTCCAATCTCCTTTCACCCCTTCTTCTCGTCGTCCTGTTCTTGCCCTCTTCTCCTCCGGTTCCTTCCAGTTGGTCATCGCGGTGTCTCTACTACTCTGCTTTCGGGGCCCTCTCTCTCCCCCTCGTCATCCTCGCAGCGCGCGTCTGCGGGGCAACCGTCACTTTTTGCAAACGTCTCCGAACCCTCCTTAATCAAACCGTGCCCACCTCCGCCTGATTCTTTTATACCCGCCACCGCGTGTCGATCCCACTCGACGCTGGAAACCTATTCACCGTTCCTCGCTCGCAGCCTTCCGACCGACGTCCAGCCGCCGATCCTATTCGGATAGATCCGCCAGGAAGGACGAAGGAGGAACGAAGCTGCCGCTATCGAGGGACCATTCACGTGAAAAATTCGTGACGTTTCCCCTTGCTTCGATCGAGGGGGGCCGACAAGTTCGAACGACGCCACCGCAGTGGCCGCAGTTTGATCGGGAACAGTTTGAACAAAATTCACATCTTCGTTGGTCGAACATCGTGTGGTATGCTAGTTATTTTTTACTCGTGACTGAACAGATTTGTATTTAAATGGAGACTCGTTTTGCAGTGAACGCGTTCACAATTCACTTTCCGAGGCAAAGTAGCTATCATCGCTCGTTAGAAAAGTATTATTATTTTGTCTGCTGTACTTGATGACAATTTCGTTTAATTTATAATTGTGAGAAATGTATTTACAACGTATTCTTTCGTGCGCTTTAGAATTTCCTGCAAGTGCGCAAAAATCGGCATGTCTGTTCGTTAGAAACGAGTTGCAGACGAATAACCTTCGGGAGATTACCCGAGTCTGTCGTTAAAGTCGTTGCAAGTTGCGCACGGGCAGTTTCCACGTTTCCACCGCGTGATAAACACCGCGTTTATATTCGATTCTACTCGAATCTCGATGCATCGAGCCGTAGCGTTTCCTGTTCGAACGCGCCACGCCACGCTATCAATCGAATCGAGCCTCCATAGAATCTCTCCCCCTGCCCCCCCCCCCCCATCACGGTGGAAAAACATTCTTTAAATTCCTTCTCTCGGAGACTTCGTTTCGAGATTCATCGCCACCGTAAAAACAACAGGAAACTTTCGACGAAGCGTACAGACCGAGACGCGGTTCGAAAGGTGAAGCGAACAGCATCTCGCGAGCCACGGCCAGCCGTCTCGGTCTTTGATTGAAATATGTTTATTCAGGAACGGACGGTCGAGTACAATCGAAAGGGAACAGGAAGCGTTAGCTCCGATTCTGGATTGTTTACCCTGACCCGTCTTACCTTCCCCTCTCGCCCTCGATCGTGCCGGTAGCACTGCCAACAGGATGAATCGAGTACGATCAAGAATAACATCGATTATTCTTCATTCGCCTCTCTCACTGCGCGTGTTGCTTCTCCTATCCGAAAATATCAGGTGACGTCTCTCAAAGGGTTTTAAAAAGAAAAGTCGATCGTCGAAGCTTTGGTTGTATTTTCTCTTGGTTCCTTTGGCCTGGACCTTGTCTACGAGCAATCCGCTGCGATTTAGTGGATCGTTTCCCCGACATTATTTATCGTATTTAAAATTATTATAAATTATCGACGAGGGTATCGGATGTTTTATTAAAACGCACGTGCAATTAATTTCTTATGTGTGACTTTCGATCGCTATGTCCAGTTGAAAAATCACAGACACACGATACGAGATTTTTCTTATTACGTACAAAATGGTCCCCTATGCGCCGAATAACTTTCGTCAATAAAATTGCTTCCTATCTCCAAAAACAAAATGTTCGACAAAGTTATTGGAACAGCCTGTACAAACAAAGATCGACAATTATTCTACTTACCAAATGTTCAAAGAGGATACATGTATTGAATAAATGTATCAAAACGTACGAAAGCGAATTCTCGATTCGTTACACGTTCGACATTAAATCCTTGTTGGATTTCCAATAATCCCGCGATCGTTCGACAAATCCATCGAGTGCAAAGTATGAAAAATGAATTCTCACTGTTTTGTTGCTCGTTTCTCGTCCAGTGTTAAGCTTGTCGATTTCTAATACCAAATCTAATTCCGAACGCTCGAGGAGTTAAATAACTCGTCGGAAGATCGGGAAATTCCGATGAAACAAATCGATAAAGTGAAAACGGTCGATGTTACAGGTGACCGACACGAACGACAATGCACCGACGTTCCAGAGCACCGCGTACTCGTTCGACGTACCGGAGAACATGCCAAGAGGAAGCCGAATAGGTCAGGTCGTCGCCACGGACGCAGACGCCGACGGACCTAACAGTCAACTGAGCTATACCCTCATTTCCGATTGGGCCAATGACGTCTTTTCTCTGAATCCTAGCACCGGCGTGTTCACGCTGACGGCCAGCCTCGACTACGAACAGGTTCGTATATATACGTACGACCGGGACACGTCGATCCTCTAGAAACGGCTAGTTAGAAAGCGTGTAAAATGATTTTGAAAGACCGTTCGCACGCGATCGGTCGCTTTCACGTTCGAAACACCTTCGACATTCATCGTTATGCGTCTCTATTATTCGTCACGATTCTGTGCGCGATCTCGATTAACCTTGTTCAATTGACAAATCTTGTCAAACGACCTTGACAAACCTTGTCAAACGACAGACGAACGAGACTCTGTTTGCGGTGGGACGTACATTAAGTTTAGGATCGCAACTTTCAACGATCGATACATTTCACTGACTTGTTTGACAAAATTTTTAAGATTTCTTGTATTTTTATCCGCGACACCGTCTGTTTTTTTTTTTTTTCGTTGTCGTTTGTAACATGATTCGAGTCAAACGACGAGTCACTATGTGAAATAAGATTTCCTACAAATGCGCAATAGATTTTGTTTTTCACGAATCGAATCGATGGAAGATTTCGTAAGTGGTTGGATGGAACTTTGCTTCCAAAAATTCGAGCTTTTGGCGCTCGCTTATTTCTCACCCCCATTGAGAATTCGCGGTCGTGCATTTTCGCACACGCGCGAGATCCACACACGATAAAACGCGTAGCTGCCCCGGGGGCAACGATTATAACCACGAGCACGCCTCTATATTTAAGCTCGAGCGCACCTATTATATTAGCTTTCGGCTAGAAGGCCTACGCTAGAATTTAGGGTTTAGCGTTAACAGTCCGACAGATCGATCAACAGACGTTTTTTAACTGTCTGATGGCTACGTTTCGGAGACAAGCCATACTTATATACCGAGACGCAAAGCATAAATCGTTCATTTTCGTCACCGATCAGTTTCGTTTTTCAACCGTTGAAAGGCACGCTCTATCATCCGAAATGTTGAATCGTCACTTTCTTTTTCTGTTTCATTTCAAACCAGATCACGCTTTTATACGCCAAGTATCACGTGTTGCACGTTTCGAAAACGAATCGAAAAGGTTTGCTACAACGAGGAGGTGGCTGTAATAAAACCAGCATCAAACCTGCTATAAATTCATAATCAACTAATATTCGCGTTAAAGTATACAGCGTATGTGTCAAAAAAGTGTATAAAAAGTGAAGCTGCCTCCTTCGATTTTATATATATACCACGGAGCTATAAATTCCTTTTCAGTTTCAAGTACCAAGTATCATAAATTATATCTTTTTTTAATCACATCCTTTTGCAAAGTCGAATAATTCAAATGCTAAATATTGGAGTTGTATATTTTCCAATTGCTTCCCTTCGTGGAGTCGTGGAATCGTAATTATTAAAATTCTTTATAATTCGAATATCGAAGTCATATTTTCCACCTCCTCTCTTTCATAAAGTCGAGGAGAAAGTGTGGAACAAGAATCGTGATTCACCCAACATTTGCTACATGAATATACTGCAGAAAATACCGAAACATAAGAATTAACCTGCCAGAAACAATAAAAAAAACTTTATCAACTACCTAAAGGAGACCCAACAACTAGACCAGTCATAAAGAGATAATTCCAGCACGTCGCTAAAGACCTCGTAGTCGATGCTCTAAACCCCCATATAAAAAGAAAAAAAAAGAAAAAGAATCGTGATTGATTTGTGAAGTTCAGGTCCATTGGTGTACATAGTATAATATTGAAATCCAACACAGAGTTTCCATGAGAAACAATAGGAACGACGATGCGATGCGATAGGGTAGTTTATAGAACCTTTCATCAGCGTAATTCGCTTCCAGATACAGGGCGGGATCGTTCGATCGTGCTTTGCATCTCTCGTCTCGGGATGATCGGGAGCGCATTGGAAACGCAGAAACAGCACGTTGCTTCCACGAAACTCGTATTAGTCCTAACAAAATTGTTAGGCGCCGCCTCAGATGCAAGCGGAAGAGCACGTCTAAAAGTCTCCCCCCTTTTAAAACATCGCCCCGGTCGAAACAACTGTTCTCCGAAACTACCTTTTGCTTTCCTATGTTTCTCTCTTCTCTCTTTTTTTTATTTTTTTTTTTTTTTTTCTATATAATCAAGTGTTTCGCGTTAAACGACCATTTTTGGCTATACACCGCTTCCGAAGGGACGGCCACTTGTTCGACTTTTACACTCGTTCCCCGCGTCTACAAATTCTTGTCTTTCAATCATTTTAATCGTTTAATCACTAATGTCAACAAGAGTCAACTTGTACAAAGAGTCGTAGAATTTTGTGATACAATGATAAATTAATAGCTTCGAGAATGGTATTCTCTAATGATTTGTCAACATGAATGGCGAGTTTTTATTTTTGGATTGATTAATTTCTTTTCACTGTTGGTCACTGTGATATCTACTTTTGAATGGAAAATGAAATGAGGACATGTGCGAAGGTTTTTCTTTTCATCACAGTTGGGATAATATGTAATATCTTACAGTAGGTCGTTTTTGTCCCAACAGTTTATCGGAGTAAAATCATTTTTTATTCTAACTTTATGGTTTCATAGATGAAAGAAAAAAATAACATCTGCCGTCGACAAATAAATGAGTCTATACTGAAAATATTGTGTTAAAGAGTTTTATAATATCTATTAAAGATTATGTATTTGCTAATATATCAAATAGTGATCTCTCTGAGTGAAAACTAATTAATTACAATTATTATTAATTAATGATTTGATAATATCTATGATAATGATTTATTCAATTTCCAAGCGCAGCCTTTAAATTTGATTAAACCGAAATTCCTGCTGTTTCTCCTCAGAAACACCTTCTAGCCGCGTTTCTAAGTCATAAATTATCAAAAGAAACCGCGACAGAACAACACAAATGAGATGATCTAATCTGTCAAGACAAAGACGTGCGATAAATTGATCAACGATGCTCAAACTGTTTCCAACAGTTCAAGGGTGTAGTTCAGCTCTTAGTTGAAGGCTTCGTCGATGACAGTTTCATTTCACGCACGGAGAATAGATAAGGAAACACTTACCTTGGTCGTTTGACAGGTGCAGCACTACATTCTGGTAGTCCAGGCGACAGACGGCGGCATCCCGGCGCTCTCCTCCACGGTGACGGTCTACTGCAACGTTGTCGACTTAAACGACAACGCGCCGATCTTCGAGGCCGGCCCACACGCCGCGGATATCGTCGAGAATACGACGATCGGCACATCGATCCTATCCGTGACCGCCCAGGACCTCGACTCCGGAGATAACGGCAGGGTAATTTACGCTGTCGCCGGCGGTGACGAGAACGGTGACTTCGGAGTGGCACCAAACGGCACCCTTTTCACTCGGAAGTTGCTCGACAGGGAACAAAAGCCACTTTACAATTTGATCCTCAGCGCCACGGACAGCCCTTTGCCACCTGCCCTCCCTTTGTCTTCCACCGTGCAGGTTTGTCTCGCATCCTCCCTGCAACAAACGATACACTCGTCTTGCATATATATATCGTTTCGCATATCGTTACCGATTATGAGATCGTGGTTTGTACAAAAGAATTATAAATCTCGCTGGATTCACCCGCGCTGCTTGTTATTATTACTGCGACTAGACTACGGATTTTTATGCGTTATACGTTTATATTTTTACTCTCTCTTAGTTACGATGTAACTAAGAGAGAGTCTATTTTTACTCTCTTTTAGTTACGATGTAATTAAGAGAGAGTCTGAACGTTGCAGAAAGTATATACTGTTGTACTTTGGATATATTTTCACACTTCTTCACATCGTCGCGTCCATTTTTGCGAGTTTGGAGAGAGTCGTGCTGAATCTTACGTCTAACCTACGAGTAATATTGAAATAAGAGACATATAGATGACTATATATAATATTTGGAATGATATTACAAAAATTTATTTAATTTCACTTTGTATTTTATATTGTCTCTGACAAAGATATAATAATTATATAATAATTATATCTTATATTAATATTATATAATAATTATATAATAATTATATAGAAAGAGAAATTAATATTAGAGTATTAACAGAATGTTCAAACGTTAGAGTATTGGAATATAAGAATATCTACTGTATGTATTCATATCAAAGAAATTTTATATTAATATTACATTAATATTATATAATTATATTAATTAATAATTATATAATAATATATAGAGAAAGAAATTAATATTAGAGTATTGACAGAATGTTCAAACGTTATCGGAATATTAGAAGCTCTACTGTATGTATTCATATCAAAGAAATTTTATATTAATATTATATAATTATTAATATTGTAATATTATATAATAATTACATAGAGAGAGAAATTAATATTAGAGTACTAACAGTATATTAAACGTAGAGTAGAGTAATCGGAATATTAGAGTACTGATATCAAAGAAATTAAAATCTACGGCGAAGAAAAAATTCATTCGCAATATATTCGTATTACGAGAAACCGATCGAATCTTTAAAAATAGCAAAGATCAATGATGCCTGCCTGGTTATTCCAGCGTTGAGAAAGTTGTAGCGGAGAATTAATCGCGTACGTTTATTGGATCGACAGGTGACGGTGGTGTTGCTGGACGTGAACGACATGTCGCCGGAGTTCATATCGCCGACGAAGATTTCGATAATAGAGAACGCACCGAGCAACACGGTAGTGATGGCGATTAAGGCGGTGGACAGGGACGAAGGACGAAACGGATACGTGGAGTACTCCCTCGAGGACACGACGCTTCCCTTCACCGTTGGCCCCGTAGATGGACTATTGCGCGTATCTGGCTCGTTGGATCGCGAATTAAGGTCAAACTACACCTTGGAAGTAACCGCGAAAGACCGCGGTGAACCACCGAGATCGTCCTCGACCACAGTCACTGTCACGGTCCTTGACGAGAACGACAATTCGCCGGTGTTCGATCCGCGGCAATATTCAGCCACTGTCGCTGAGAACGCCAGCATCGGCGCCAGCGTACTCCAGGTTCGTCTCACTAGCTTTCAACGTATCCAAATTTGTCGTCACCTCGGCGGATGGTACTATGGCCTAGAACAAAATCAATTTTTCTGTATGAATATTTTGGTAACGAAGCTTTGTTTTATGCAAAGTTCTATAATACAAAGTAGAGAAATGTGTTTCCCCTTTTTTTTTTTCTTTTTTTTTGGTAGAAAAAAGAAAATAGTTAAGTTCTTTTATAAGAGAGTTTGAGAAATATTCTACTTATGAAAAAGATAGTACTTTCACAGTGTAGAGATTTACATAAAAATTTTCTTGATTATGATATAGATATATATACAAAAAAACATGATGCCAATGTATTCAATCTATTCTTGAATGTATGCGATTTGCTTTTGGTTCCTTGTATAAAAAGGGGACGAAGCTAGGAGTTAATTTCAAAGTACAAAATTTAATTTTTTTAGACATAATTGTCGATTTTAATAGCGGAACAAAAATCGCCAACTTCGGAATATATCTAATAATATTAAATTGATAATATCAATTTTACTGATACTTTTATTCTATTACATTGACAGAAACAATAAAAGTAAGAAGACAGATGTGAAACTTGAAGTTTGAATTTGTGAATGGAAAAATTGCTAAATGCCAAAATTTACGTTCGCTCTTTCTTTAACATAGTTACAAACCGCCTGCTAAAATCGAAGGTTATTCCAAAAAAAAAAAAAAAAGAAAAATCGTCGTTTCGTACGTACAGCAATTTAACATGTAAAAGAGCGAATGAAATTGCGGTTTTGCCGCGGAGCGTTGCCATAAAGTTATCGAGATTACGCGAGTCCAGTTACGTCACGCCAATTAAATCACACGAGCGTATTTATTCCTCGAACGAGGAGGGCCACCGCGAAGCACGAAGCAAAGTCTCGAAGAACGTTCAAAGGCGCTGGCCGCGCTGATGCTTTTATTTCGTTTGCGAAATCGTCGATGTCGAGTCAGTTTCGAGTGGTTTTTCAACCTTCAGGTGTCGGCGATGGATCGCGACGAGGGCGCGAACGGAAGGGTGAGATACAGCATCGCGATGGGCGACGACAACCGAGACTTCACCATCTCGGAGGACGGCGGTGTGATCCGAGTGGCAAAGAATCTCAACTTCGAAAGGAAATCCAGGTACTACCTGACGATAAGGGGGGAGGATTGTGCCTCAGAAGTGGGGGAAACACCGCGGGGTGACACCGCCCAGGTCACCGTCACTGTCCTCGACATAAACGACAACGCGCCTGTTTTCTTGGACTCGCCCTACCTGGCGCACGTTATGGAGAACATGGTACCACCCGGAGGTGGATTCGTGATACAGGTAAATAACGATTTCATGCTCGACTTATGTTTAACGCGCGAAATTTAACCTCTTGCGCTGGAATAATGACGCACGTTGAGAGAATTTTTTAATTTCCCCCCCCCCCCCAAAATTGCAACATTTCCTCAGTTTCTAAGTATATTTGAGTATACCCAGGCAAAAATAAATTTATTGCTTCTCAGTAATTTCTATCCAGATGTGATTGTTATATACGGTTTCGGTCACTCGTTATGGTCCGCAATCAGTTGACAGCGCAAGCGGCTCAAGCCGCCTACGACACTTTTGCAAAGTTTTTCTGTTATTATCGTGGCGAATTAACAGAGGACATCTGAGTATTTTATTAATACTGGCCAGGGGCCGAGGATAAAAATTTTTGTGAAAAAGCTAAGACATTTAACTGAAACTTGTTCAGAACATTAAAGTCGAAGAATATTACTCTCAAAGTATGAAGAAAATTTCTCGATTAAAGTTGAACATTTTTGATTAAAAATAACCAATCATGAGTATGATGAAAATATCTTTTCGTTGGCAATAATCAACATCGTTACATAAACTGATATATATGTCAGACATTAAGCTTGACAACAATTTTGCAACATCTTTGCAACTAACAACTTTCTTCACTCTCTTAGTATCCTAACGATTTTTTTATATATCATCCAAAACTATAAAAGTATTATCGTAGAAACTCGAGTCTAAAAATCTCGATAAAAAAAAAGAATCGATCGCCAAGAGATTCAAATACACAAGAAAGAAACATTCAAAGTATGCAGTTAAAGTGAAACGATTATATACTCTCTCTTGGGTACCAAAATGGTTAACGATGAAAATGAAATATTCGTTCGAATCCCTCAGGTGAGAGCTTACGACGCTGATACACCGCCTTACAACGACCAAGTGAGATACTTCCTGAAGGAAGGTGACACGGATTTGTTTCGAATAAACGCGAGCACCGGCGACATTTTTCTGCTTCGGCCGCTCGACAGAGAACTGGTACCAGAATACACCCTGACACTGGTGGCCATGGATACTGGTAAGTTCCATTTCTCTCGGCCGATCATATCGCTACACCCGCCGGCGCGTAGCGTTAAAGGCTAATTTATAATTGCGACGAACGAGGTAAAAGAAACGACGCGAGAAGTAAATGGCGGAGAGGTGGGGAATAAAGGGGCGGCTAAATAAAGAAATCGTGGGCTGGAAGGTATTCCCAGTAGAGTCTTTGGAGCGCGTACCTTAGGGGAACAGCTAAATAGGTATATACCTGGTAGGATCTGCACAAAGACCGGCATTGAAAGGGTAGTCAGTATTCTTTGAGAGAGAATATTTTTCCGGCGACCTTAGTAACCGGTCTTAGGTTCTGTGTAAACTGGTTGCGAATTAGCACGAACAAAGGACTTAATTATATTGGGTTTGACATCTTCGAAAAAAAGCCGCGGTGAATGAACGGTGAAAAGAGCTGCCTCTTGAGCGACCGAACTCGTGCTCACGCAGGTAGCTATAAATTCGTTCCATTCGCTTTGACAAATGTACATCGTCTACAAATCGTTTTCGTCCCGTTTCGTCGACGCAACGATCGAAATGTCACCAAATGTCAATGAAACGGCGCGTGCCGATTCACGAGACAATCGACGCAATTCCGTTGCATGAATTATTTTCCCCACCTGCGCGTGAATTCTTTTTAATCCTTCTCCATGCTTGAAATTGCGAAACACTTTAAGTCTGGATCGCTAAATATCTGTTTATTTAGTTAGAATCTAACGAGCAAATATAGGCTCTATAATTCTAACAAATCCTAAGGAAGTTACAAATGTAAATGGCAATCTACGATATCTTACTATGGAAAAGAATACAAATCAGAGGAGGAAAAAGTGAAATTATACTGGGTGAATAATTTTCTAACAAATATTCCAAATCTCTCTATTTAATGAGCCGGGAAATAATTTAATCGGATCGGAGAATCTTAAGTCGCTTCGAAAAAAAGAAGGACCTATTAAGGAAAATATGATTACATAATAATAATTAATATTAAACTTCAATAGTTTTAAATTATCAAGAATGAATGCATCTGGATCAATTCTCGACTAACAAAAAGTTTCTAACACGTTTGTCTTCTCTTGTTCTAACTCTTCAATTAAATGTTTGTAGACTTTGAATTTTGGATATTCCATGTTCCTTTTCGATATATTTGCTCGAACAACATTACAATCACTCTCTCTCTCTCTCTCTCTCTCTCTCTCTCTCTCTCTCTCTCTCTCTCTCTGATATAACCACAACTAATTACTTTATTACTGACTACAAGATTATCCGTGGAATGATGCCAACTAAACGCTCAAAGTATTAAACCAATTATGGCGCGGCGATTACACAAACGTCGTGTGTTGCTCGTATACGAGACGTACGAGAAAATGTCGCAGGTTCCCACTCCCCCGCGTGCTTTCTCGAACGAATAGACGAAACAATAGATGATGTATGGGATGGGTTTAAGTAATGAGCGGTAATATACAAATTGGATATAAATTTGTGGGTTGTTCGATGAGATTCTTTAAGCGGTGGGCAGTTCTTCGTTCGAAATCGTTTTTTATCGTTCGTTCCTCTGACGAAGCCAGTAGTCCCATCGAGGGGAGGCGGAGGGGGAGGGGAGGGGGGCGCTCGCCCGCCCCCTTCGACCAGCCATCGGCGGGGGCCGATGGCCCAATCGGTCCCCGCCGAGGTAGACAAGCCTGCAGAGTTATGACGCGCGATTATGATAATCGCTCTCAAATGCCTTCCTCTGCCTCGACGCTGCACTCTCTTTCTCCCCCCCCCTCCCCCCTCGTTTTCCCGTCGTTCCTTCTCCTCCTCCTCCTCCTCCTCCTCCCCCCGCCCGCATACCTTCACTCACTCTCTCTCTTTCTCCACTCCACCTTCACCTCCACCACCACCTCCACCTTCTCTCAATGTTCCCTTCGCCCCATCCTCTTTCTCGCTCGTTGGATCTTTTGGACCCTCTCTTTGGAGCGAAACGCGCATCTCTCGAGATCCAGCCCGAGCACGCGCATTATACCTCCTATTTTATTCATACGTCATGGCTGTCGCGTGTACGCGCCACCTATAGCGTTTATGCCAGCCGTGTCCACTCCGAAACCGGTACCCGAACCGTGTGGGCAACCATAAAGATCCACCTTACGCCACGTTACGTTCCGTGTCGTCCGGGTGAGAAGAAAAAAAGGAGGGAGGGAGGGAGGGGGAGCGCCGCACCATTCGACGCGCGCCTGTAAGATAAGAAGTTTCAATGAAACGACGCGAAACGATTCGTGCCAACGCGGATCAATGGTCGCGAACGAGAAACAAACAGCCCATTCGTCTACTCGAGGACCCCGTGCATCGACACACTTGGGGATACTCGTGATAACGCGTTACGCTGTAGGTATGTGGTTCACTATCGGTGGCGAATCAGCATCGGGAGCGAGTTGCATCGATGCAGGAATCTCGTCTTGATTGGCGAGCAAAATCCGTTCTCTCAGTCCTCGACTTGTTGCGCAATCCTTCTTCGTTCCAAACGTTACGCAACTGCATAACGAGAAGCAGGATCATCGACATGCGTAAATAATGATCGCTAGATAGGTTCGTTCGTTTTCGGACCTTTCGGAGATCTGTTTCTTCAGGCTGACTGATCATTTTGACGTTTCCACCGAATCGATTGTCCACGATTATTGTTGACAATAATACTGGAGTTAAAACATGATTCCACATTTTGAAGTATTCCAATTGGTATTGTACGTGTAGACAAATTGAAAAGAATCGGTAAAATATAAATAGGCGCAGTGGATCGAGAAAGTATCGGCACGCGAACATAACTTTCGCGCAATATTTTTGTGAAGTCAAACGATACACTGACTCTCGTATTTTTTTTACATAATTGTATAAAGAAACTCGCTGTTATTGAAAATTCCGTGTTCACTGTTCGTTCGTAGTGAACTATTTATGGAGAAAAGCTATATTATACTATATACTATATATATAGCATAATATAGCAATATAATATATATTATATTATATAAAAATATTATATAATAATATATAATATATTATACTGTAATAATATTATATAATACTGTATAATACTATAATAATATACTATATACTATAATATATACTATAATAATATTATATAATACTGTATAATATTATATAGTATATAACACTAATAATTATATACTATAATAATATTATATAATACTGTATAATATATTATACTGTATAATAATATTATATAATAATGTATATAATATATTATACTATATAAAAATATTATATAACAATGTATAATATATCATACTATCATTTGTTTTCACAAAGAAGACCAATATTCTTTTAACCCACTATACCACAAAAATACGAGACAAGTCGAGAAGAATGAAACTGGTGCTAGTTGTCGTGAAACCTACATACGATATCGATGCATCGCAATCTATTCCTAGTTTCTTTTTTTTTTTTAAATCAAACACTACATACTCTCTACAATAAGAGGAGGCGAAATGTGAAAAGAGAGGACGACCGAAACAGGGTAAGAGAGGGGCACCTGTAGCTCCTTGTCCCCATCAATTAAGCAGACGAACAAGGAGCATACGCTACTAGTGTAAGTCAGTATATTTCTGTCGGATTGCCCACCAGGGGAACACCGCCTATGGTGGACCCGCACCATTGTGCTTTGCAATTGTTGTGCCCGCAACCCTCCCCGTGAGAGGTCCACGTGATTGAACGATATAATACGCTTATAGAGGCGCGTGGCCCAGGGCCACGCCAACGCGTACAATGTACCTGCTGCAATCCGAGAAATCGGGTCCCCCCGGAGAATAATGGCCTGTTTTAGGCGGCGCAATTAACTCGGCCGGTGAGCCCCGGCTCGGTTCGATACTTTGTAAAATCCCAATTTGTCTTATTCAACGTCTCAACCAATCGAATCGCACAAACACCCATCGTCCCGTCAAACGTGCCAGCACTGAAACTGTACAATTTCGAGGGGCAAGTTGCCGAATGAATTTTTAGAAAGACGAATTTTTAGAAAAGGGCACCTCCTCGATTTCGTCTCGCGTTCAACCATCGAATCGTACGAAATACGTGTGTCAATTCTGGGGAACTGTTCAATTTCAAAGGAGAGTTTCGAGGAATAATTCTCAGAGCCGATTAAAATAGGATACTTCGCAAAGTTTGCAACTTGATTTGTTCGACGTTGCAAACGTACCAATTTTGAAGCCCTTCCGATCGTAGAATGGAAATCGAGGACAAATTTGACGAGTAGAGGAGACAGAAATATCTAGGGATAAGTTTGAAGAAAGGGAGACACAGTTTCGACAACTGCTCGGCGTCGACGAAATCTGTTCACGTAATCATAGAACGATCAATCTACGATTACCGAACCTGTTCTACAGGTTCTCCGCCTTTGACTGGATCGGGTATCGTTCGAATCGTCGTGCTCGATGTCAACGATCACATTCCGGAATTCACTAGGCAGGAGTACAGGGCGACGGTCACCGAAAACTCGGCTTCCGGGACCTGGGTCACGAAACCTCACGCTACGGACAAAGACGAGGGCCTCAACGCCAAGATAAGGTACGTAACTTCCGAATGCAAGTTACGTGTAGCAATTCTCGTAATTTTCGTAAGGCTTCTCTTCCATGTTTTTCTTTCTGGTACAGGTACAGTTTGCTGGGAGAGAATTCGGAACGTTTCACCGTGGAACCGGAGACTGGTGACGTGTTCACAGTGGTGCCGCTCGATCGGGAACAAACCTCGGTGTATCACTTAACTTTGGTCGCTCAGGATTCGAGTCCTACGGAACCGCAAGCCTCCGCCGTCAATTTGACCATCTTTGTGAAGGATGTGAACGACAATGCCCCGAGATTTTCTAGTCCAAGATACACTGCCTACGTGCCAGGCGCAACCAAACCAGGTAAAGGGTTTATAAACGGACAAAGGGAGTATAAATATGGGAAAGTTTCCTATGGTGGGCTAATTTTAACCTCTTGCAATGACGTGCCAGAATTTTTTTTGTGCCAAATTGCAACATTTTCACAGTTTCAAATATATTTAATAAATGTAACTCAGGCAAAAACGAATGATACGTTTATTGCTTCTTAATAATTTCTACCCAGTGATAGATCGACGAGTTCTAAAGAAAAAAGAAAGCGACGATTTTACTGTATACGGTTTTGGTCACTCGTTATGGTCCGCGAAACAGCTGCGCAAGGGATTAAGAACGCTAGAACTATTGAATTATAGACGATTTGAAGCGGAAAAGTTTTATAACACAATGAAGTACACAAGCTTTTGTTTAAAATTTAGAAATTGTAAATTGGTCATTTTTACCATTTCGGTAGTTCTAGTGTTAATATGTAGTTTTTCAGCAGAAAGTTTCGAGAACAATTTTCCAATATTTGAAAAAACTGGCGTGTAGAAAAGCAGGTGCTCTCTGATTCCACAAATTGAAAGAGTGACAAGCGTAATTGAGACGCTGTGACATCGAAAGTTACGTATTCATGTATTCATGGTTGTGCTACATCGCGATTATTATTTACTTTTTAAAAGTTTTAACGGGAGTAAATAGCTATAATTAATTCTTTAATAATCGGAACTTCGTTTCGTAACACAACAGAATGGACAAACTTCGACTCATACAATTTGCGGGAAATCATTTAAACCTCTGAATGTACACTCTGTTGTACATCTATAAAGTTTCCAATAAAAATTGTAAATCGGTCATTTTGACCACTCTGGTAATTCTGGTGGTTGTCAAAGAACTTACCACCTTCCCCTCCCGCCCCGAAATAAATGAATAAAGAGAGGGAGAACAATTACAAGGAGGAACGTGACAACTTTGCAAGCTATGATCCAAGACCCGGGAACTTGAACACGAGTCTGAACGCGTTAAGTAACACCTGAATAACAGAAGGCCTCGCGAAGCGAGCGCATCGTGCGCAACAAACAACGTCACACACACACAACAGTCCTGAAACAGAAACCTCGCCTTTTCCTTTAAAGGGGATTTCGTGTTCGGCGCGAAAGCGGTGGACGACGACGACGGAGAGAATTCCCGGATCGTCTATCGTCTCCAGGGGATCGACGCGGAGAGGTTCGCGATCGATTCGAACAGCGGCGTGATAAGGACGACGCAGGAATTGGCCAATGACGAAACCACCTACCAATTGCAAATCCAGGCGTCCGATTGCGGCGTGAAGCCGCAATCGGTCACCGCGGATTTGGTGATACATCTCTGGGAGAGGCAGCTGTTCCCCAGCTTTCGTTCGACCATCAACACCAGGTTCACACTGCCGGAGGACGTGCCGGAGGGCCGGGTGATCACGAAGTTGAGCGCGACCACGCCGAAAGTTGGCACCGCGAGCAATCTCGTTTACGGGATGGCTGGCGGTAACGTCGGCGACGCGCTCAAGATCGATCCTCACACTGGCGAGGTTCGTATCGCACGCAGACTTGTACTATATCGGGGATTGTTCTTTCGCGAATAGGCGTTTTATGCGAATTATGTAGAGAAAAACTGCAAGTAACTGATCAACTCAATCCCACTCGTACTCTTTATTTCTTCATCGCGTTGCGTCGCTCAATCCTTTACTCGCAGTTTAGTTTATTTCAATGATAATTTATCAACATTTAAGGAAGCAAGTCTTTCCTCAGTGTTATTCTGTTTTGTGAATAACAAAAGTTAGAAATCTCTCTGTGAGTTATCGATCTACATGATACTCAGCTGTATATAATGAGAAATTGAGACTCAACTGGTTAATAGTATTAGTATTATACTTGCACGATGCAACGCATGGTGTAAAGATTGTATGGGTGTAAAAATTATATGGAAATATTGCTAAAACAAAATATCTGAAACCTACGTATATCTTAATACAATCTGTTGAATTATAATGTCTATTTCGAATCATACAGATCCAAGGAGAATTTAAGTAGGACCAATTATCCGAAAACTTACTTTCCGAATATATCTCACTGTCCAAACATTATATTATCAGAAACATCTGCTGGTAACTAATAAAAAAAAAAATAACCTGTTACTGACAGACATTCTGATATTAATTTCAAGATATTAAGATATTCGCAAAATAAGAACTGCAGATAATTAACCTTGTAACTTGTTCTCTTTATGAATATTATAATTCAATATATTGTTTATTCTATTATATAATATAATATATAATATAATTCAATAAATTATTAAAATATAAAAAGTAAATACACAAGCATGTGTATATAAAATATATTACATTGTCAAACTTGGAGTTTCTACCATTCTACATTCGAGGACGATGACAGTGATCCATTTTCAACCTGACAAATCGCTCGACAGGATAACAGATAAAACGATCGATCGTTTCGTTTAGGTGTTAGTCGCGTCTGGATTCGATTACGAGACCGCGCCGCACTACGAAGCCTGGGTGGAAGTTCGCGATTCCGACACACCAGCACTCAGGAGCGTGGTGGAACTGTTTGTGAACGTCACCGACGCGAATGACAATGCCCCGATAATGGAGGCGCCGATTTACAACGCCACGGTGCCCGAGGACGAGTATCCGCCACTGTTCGTCAGCAAGGTATCGGCGAATGATCGCGATTCAGGAGAGAACGGGCAGGTGTCTTACCACCTGGTCAACGATTTCGCCGAGACGTTCATCATCGACTCTGACACCGGGGAAATCAGCACCAATGCGAAACTGGACCGCGAGGAGGTGAGTGTGGACGTTGAGAGGAGAGTTTGTCGATGACGATGACGATGCTTTCGAACGGAGGAGACGGAACGAGTCGATTTCGTTTCAGATCGCTTCCTACGAGTTGATCGTGGAGGCACGAGATCAGGGACAGCCCTCCCTCACAGGCACAACGACTGTCCTGCTCACCGTGCTGGACAAAAACGACAATCCACCGCAGTTCACGCGGCTGTTCAGCGTGAACGTCACGGAGAACGCGGAGATCGGCACGTTCGTCATAAGGATCACGAGCAGCGACCCGGACATCGGGCAAAACGCCAACGTCACCTACAGGTTCACGGAAAATCCCGGGCAGAAGTTCGCCATGGACGCTCTGAGTGGCAACGTCACCGTGGATGGACATTTAGACAGAGAGGAACAGGATGAATATCTCTTAAAGGTAAATAGACTAATTTTCACACGCAGCACCGGATACTTTGAACATCAAAATTTTGACCTACAGTCTATCAGATTTTACTAATCTTTCATGTCTCAGATATTTTTGAGATATTGTTCAGATATTCTTGGTCTACATCTTTCATGTTTCAGATATTTTTGAGATATTGAAATATTGTTCTCATGTTCTCGGCCTAGATTTTTCCTTTTTTTAGATATTTTTGAGATATGGAAATATTGTTCAGATATTCTTGGTCTACATCTTTCATGTTTCAGATATTTTTGAGATATTGAAATATTGTTCAGATATTCTTGGTCTACATCTTTCATGTTTCAGATATTTTTGAGATATTGAGATATTGTTTAGATATTCTTGGTCTACATCTTTCATGTTTCAGATATTTTTGACGTTAAGTATTTAATTAGACTCGGATGTTAAATACCTGATTATAATATAATTGTGCTTTATTTTATTTATTTTATTTCCGCATGTCAGTTGTCATCTGGACAAGTTTCGGAGGTTTATCTACTATGATTATCTCTAATCAAATATTCCATTTTCAAAATTCAACCTAGCTGTCAATATTAATTCAAAATCAATTTTAATCTGTCCTGTATCACACTCGTCCATTCTAGGACAGATTATACATATTGTACGTTTACAACTATTCTTCCCAAAATTACGACGTTTCTTCCCTATTGATCACTGTACGTACAATAAATAAAAACCAAAGAATTTCAACGAGCCAATCGTTACAGCTGGTGGCAGCGGACGGAGCCTGGCAGGCAGCGACCGCCCTCACAATAACTATCCAAGATCAGAACGACAATCCGCCGGAATTCGACGAGGTGTCTTATCACTTCCACTTCCCCGAGCTGCAACCACCTGTTGCGCACGTAGGCCAAGTAACCGCGATCGATCGCGACAAACAAGGCCCCAACTCCGTGATATCCTACAGCCTGTTGCAACCGTCCGACCTGTTCACCGTTGACCCGGCCACCGGCGACGTCTTCAGCAAGAAGACACTCAAGTACAAGCACACCCATCGTCCCTCCTCGCCGGAGAATCTCTACTCGCTGACGGTGGTAGCCACCGACAATGGAAAGCCACCCCTCTCGTCGAAGACGGTTGTCTACGTGAACGTCGTCGACGCGAACAACAACGCGCCGAGATTCGAGCAGAGATCCTACCTCTATCCGGTGCCGGAGAACTACGCGGTTGGCAAACGAGTGGTGCAGTTAACAGCGAAAGACGACGCCGACTTCGGCGTGAACGCAGAGGTCAGCTACTCGCTGGAAGACGTGAACAGCACCGAGTACTTCTCCATCGACGAGAAGTCCGGATGGGTGTACGTGCGAAACTCACTGGCCAACGTGCCAGTGGGGACGACGTTCCTGTTGAAGGTGCAGGCGATCGACAGAGGTGTACCACCGCAGAGGGACCAGGTCTCGTTGACTCTGGTCATATCGGGCGAGAACAAACACGCGCCGACTTTCGCCGCTGTTAGCCACCAGGTCAGAGTACCGGAGAACGAACCCGTCAACACTACTATTTTGACGGTGAGCGCCACCGACGGTGATGACGGGCCAAACGGTATGATAAGGTACAAAATATCGGCGGGGAACGAGAAGAACGAGTTCTTCGTGCACTCGATCACCGGGGCGGTAACTATACTCGAGCCACTGGATTACGACCTGGTGCAGGAGTACAAGTTGAACATCACTGCCACCGATCTGGGATTCGAGCCGAAGCAGGCTGTCGCCATATTAACCGTGAACGTTTCTGACATCAACGACAACCCGCCGACGTTCAACCAAAGCGTCTACCAGGCCTACCTGCCTGAGAACTCTCCGCCAGACAGTTTCGTTTACAAGGTACCGTTTCTTGTTTTTTTCGATTTGTAACATTTGATTAATATTGACATTTATTGGAGCTGAAATTTTTAATTTCGCATTACTGCAAAGGATATAATAGAATCAACAAAGATGAAAAATCATCGATATCTCAAATTGTGGCAACTTTGTAAAAAAAAAAAATTGTGCAACAATTTGTTCGGCTTCGTTCTAAGGTGTAAAGTCTTCTGGCAATTTTGAATTAATTCTTTTAACACATCATGCAGCGAATGAGAATTTTATTCTCATATAAATTGTAGTGATTAAAATCGTCAAATATCTAAACGTCTCGCGATTAGATCCAGTTTTCTTTCATTATTTCATTGAACTTTTATTGAACATTAGGATTCAAAAAGTCCTGACGTTTCATCGTTTAATAAATAAACTCAAAGTTCAACGAAGCAGCGAATAAATATCACCCGACACGTTCATCACGTTTACGAGTGATTCTTGTTGAGTGGTGCGCGACACTATATTTAATACTAAACTAATTATAAATCAAGCGATTGTACCATCATATACAGAGTGTACGCGTTAAGTTTTGTCACCAGTTTTTAGGCATTTTTGGTAGTGCAGTTAGAAAATGTTTACAACAAACAAAATTTTTTTAATATTTAGTGGGCTACAAATTCCCATATTCTTAAATCTCAAAAAATGCTTTTTATGTAAAAAAGTCAAGTTCTTGACAAACAAAAGTCCTTGACTTTTTTAAATGGCACCGTATGCTTTTGATATCATAGGATTGTTGCTGATGTCGAGACGAATTCAACAGTGTATTACACTGTGGCTTTGAAATGATGTATCATTCAACAGTGTATTATACTGTGACTTTTTTTACATTTTTGGAATTGAAGAGGGAACATGTAGCCCGCTAAATACTAAAAAAAATTTCGCTTCGAACATTTTTTAATTGCACTAACGGAAATGCCTAGAAACTAATGACAAAAACTCACATCCTGTATATTCACATATACAATGAAAATAATAATAATAAATCTGCAAATCCCTCTAATCGCAGGTGATCGCTCGAGACATCGATTCACCAAAGTACGCGGTGATCCAGTACAAAATCCTCGGTGGCACAGGCAAGGATCACTTTCGCATTCGCGAGGACACCGGCGAGATCACCTCCCTCATCAGTTTCGACTACGAGGAGGCGAACGAGTACACGTTGGACATCGTCGCCGCGAATCCAGACTCGAATCCGCAAATGGTCGGCTTCACGACCGTTCTCGTGCACGTGACAGGGGTAAACGAGTACTACCCCAAGTTCATCCAGCCGGTGTTTCACATGGACGTGTCGGAGAGCGCGGACGTCGGCACGTCGGTCGGTCTGGTCCAGGCAACCGACCAGGACGCGGGCGAGGACGGCAAGGTCTACTATCTGTTCGTCGGCTCGTCGAACGACCGCGGTTTCTCCATCGGCTCCGAGACCGGTATAATTCGTGTCTCGCGGCGGCTGGATCGTGAAACGCAGAACAGGGTGGTGTTGACCGTGATGACGAAGAACGGCGGTGGGATTCGGGGCAACGACACAGACGAGGCGCAGGTGATCGTCTCGATTCAGGATGGTAACGATCCGCCGGAGTTCCTTCAGAGCGCGTACGACGCCACGGTGTCGGAAGGCGCGGCACACGGAACGCGAGTACTGACTGTTCGAGCGGTCGACAAGGACATCAAGCCGCAGAACAATCAGTTCTCGTATTCGATCATCGGCGGGAATATAGGCCAGGCGTTCAAGGTGGACCCGCAGACCGGTGACATAGAAACGGCGAAGCAACTGGATCGCGAAACGATCCCGGTGTACGATTTAACGATCGGTGCGATCGACACCGGTTCACCGCCGCAGACTGGCACCGCGGCCGTTCACATCGAACTGTTGGACATCAACGACAACGGTCCTATCTTCGATCCACCGGAGGTGCTCGGCTACGTGAATGAAAACGAGCCGGCTGGCACGGTCGTGATGACACTGAGCGCCACCGATCCTGACTTACCGCCGAACGGGGCGCCGTTCACGTACAAGTTGGTCGGCGGAAGGCAGAGCGACATGGTCACTTTGGACAAGCACACCGGCGTGCTGAAAACTACGAGGAGTTTGGACAGGGAGGCCATGCCGCAGCTGGACCTTGTGGTAAGCGGAGGATTTTGGAATTTTGGGACAAGCCCCGAGTATCGGGAAAGTTTAACATAAGAGGGAAATTCTAACGTTAAAATTAAAATATTTAAAAGAAAGACTGAAAGAAATCAAAATCGGTTCGATTTATCAATTGCGGTCAAATTTAATTAATCACGAATTAGTAATTTCTACCTAGGAAAACAAGTGAAAGGTATGGAACTTATTGTCCGTAAGATTCAAGTCTTCGGGAAAATTAAATTTTGCGGTCTGCTAGGCCGATTTTTAATTAAACATGCTCGAACTGTATTTTTCTTTTTTTTTTTTGAGAACGATTCTTTCACATAGAATCCGTGTTGTACCACTGGATTAGAAGCTCTCTACGTAATTCAACACAGTGCGATTCATAATTCGAATAAATCTTTACAGATCGAAGTGGAGGACTCCGGTATACCGAGAATGAGAAACGAGCACACGATAACCGTGATCGTGACGGATCAGAACGACAGTCCATCCTCACCGAGATCGGTTCACGTGATAGTGCACTCTTTCAACGAACAGATACCATTAGGAAAGATCGCCGATGTACACCCCAACGATCCAGACATCACCGGTAGCTACACGTGCAAGATACTTCAAGGATCGAATCCTAAAATTCTCAGTATTCCCACCGCTTGCGATTTACACACGAAGAAAATAACTCCAGGTTTGTTAACCAAACGTACAATCAGTCGCGAAATTCGTACACCTGATGAACAATTAAATTATTAATTTTGAACTTGAATTACAATTTAATTAAATTCTTGTAGAAAACACTAATCAAGCGCCAAACGTCCAACGTTTTTCACGAGAGACAGAAAAATTACTTATTTATTTAAATTATTATATAACTCCAGGCGCACAGTTCTCTTGGAAATAATGAAACTGCATCTTGCATCTTTCGATACAGGAGTCGGCTACTCTTTAAGCGTGTCTGGAAACGACGGCCGCCATCCTAACGTGGTCTCCAAAGTCACAGTGGAATTCCTCGTTTTCACCAACAGCACGATCGAAAATAGCGTGACGCTGCAGATAGCGAAATTAAACGCCAGGGATTTTTTAAGCCAGTATTATCGCGCGCTATTGGACGTTCTGCAAGAAGAAATCGACGTTGGAGACACTCTTAAGATCTTCAGTCTTGGAGAGAACGAATCTGACCTGAATATCCACTTGGCAGTAGAATCGCCTCAAGGTATTTGAAAATGAAAGACAAGCGGTAATAAACAGACTGCGAATGTTAATGTCATTTTGTCAATCTTATAAGCATTTCTGAATTTTTATATCTCAATCTGGCTCTTATTTATTTAGCAAATAGAAAGAAAGTTTCGTAATATCTAATATGATATCGATAGCTCGATATTGAAAGAAATAATAAAATTTAGATTGCTTGAAATTGCTTAATTTCGGGATAGCAATAATTGAAAGACAAAAATATTACTAGGTCGAGACGAGTCTGAGTGAAAATTTCATTCGCTAACAAAAGTTATTGCAACAAGAGATTCTATTTTTGAACGTACTATGTATTATTGCAGAGTCTTGAATATCATCCCCCTCCCTCCCCCCCAAAAATGCATAAACATCCGCAAGTGTAGTATAAACTCGAAAATTCGAAGAAATCGAACAATCGAAATTCGAATAATTGAAATTCACGTGGCGCAGGATACCGTAGCAAGTACGAGGTCACCGAATTGCTAAACCGTAATCGGGAGAAAATTCGATCGCTTCTCGAGGGAACGACATTCACCGTTGGCTACTCGCCGTGCAAGCAGATACCTTGCGAGAACGGAGGCTCTTGCAGCGACAGGTTGGTCATCTACGACGACGCCAGGATCACCGACAGCCAAGCGCTGATCCTCACGTCGCCGAGAATGATGCACGAAATGACCTGCAAGTGCCGGGATGGCTTCACCGGCGACAAATGCGACAGAAGACAGGATCCTTGTTCTCCGAATCCCTGTTTACTGGTAAATATCCCACGCTAAAGCTACGAAATACATCACAATTTGTCCACCTTGTCAAATAAAAGATGGGCCAAAAATCACTTCCTGCTAAAATAAATCCGTGATCCTTTTATTATATTATATTTCTATTATATATCTTTATTATATTTTTATTATATTTTTATTATATATCTTTTTCTCATTTTGTTTTTCTTTTTTTTTTTATTTTTTACAAATTAAAGTACACAAAAAGTAAGATTATGCTTGAACTTAAGTTTAATTTAAAATTAATAAAATTAGTTTTCTTTTATTTAAAAACAAAACAGGTGGGAAGAAACTTTTGGCCTTTAATGAGAATTTTGGCCCACCCTGTAGGTATATTAATCCACTAACTCTCAAATGGACTCTTCTATTTTTAGTTCAATAGTTAATGTTTCTGTTTCTGTAAAACTGTATCGACACGTGATTTGAAATTAAATTAAACTGCTCGGTTTCCAATGGTCTGTTTAAGGATCCTTTTCAATCAGTTTCTATCATTTCTTTGATGTTGAAATATCGATTCTATATAGATCCTGTAGATTCTGTAGAATTTTAAAAAATTTCAATAAACCGAGATATTCATAATATTTACAATTTATAATTTTATATAATTTAGAATTTGTAATATTATGATAAATCACTGCTTGATCTTTGATACAGACTCTAGACCATTTTAAACGTATTTGCGAAAGTATTTCTCTCCTTTGAGAAGGTTTTCAAAAAAAAAAAGAAATCATCCTCGTGCTCTGATAAACCCGAGGGAGTCAATATTTAAAAAAGGAAAACCGGTTTTCTAATATAGAAGATCGAGTGATTGATCGTTGATCGTTTTCGTTACTTCACGACTTTCAGGGAGGACAGTGTCGACGAATGGGATACGATTTCCAGTGTACCTGTCCGATCGATCGCGAAGGGAAGCTATGCGAGCTGGAGAGAGGCGATGCTTGCGCGAGTAATCCCTGCAGAAACGGTGGATCGTGCAGAAAGAGTCCGGACAGCTTCAGCTTCTTCTGTTTGTGCCGAGCTGGCTACAGAGGAAACCATTGCGAAGCGATTACGGATTCTTGCAGGCCGAATCCTTGTCTCTACGGAGGTTTATGCGTGGGAGAGAAACCTGGGTAATTTCCATTTCCATCGACGCTGAATTAAATCAAAGTCAGAAACACAATCATACAAGTGTTTGGGCAATTCGATTAAAAGAATATTAACGTTTCTAACTTTTCACAGTGAGAGAACATTTCTTATCTCGTGTTATTGATTCGAGTCGTCCTCCACAATTTTTACTTTAATTTTCTTTTGCTTGAATTTTCGTTGCTTTTCACTTTGTGCGTTCTGTCAATCTTATAAATCTGTATCTCATATTTTCTGTATATTTTCCAATTTACTACAGAGCCACGACCTAAGTATACTAAATACTAAGTGTACTAAATATACTAAATACTAAATATATTAAATACTAAGTATACTAAATACTAAATATACTAAATACTACGTATACTAAATACTAGGTATACTAAATACTAGGTATACAAAATACTAAATATACTAAATAGTAAGTATACAAAATACTAAATACTAGGCATAAATATACTAAATACTAAGTATACAAAATGCTAAATACTAGGTACACGAAATACTAAATATACTAAATACTAGATATACAAAATACTAAATACTGGGTATACAAAATACTAAATATACTAAATACTAAGTATACAAAATACTAAATACTAGGTACACAAAATACTAAATATACTAAACACTAAGTGTACCAAATGAGCACACAAATTAATTACAATAAAAGTATGAAATATCAAGATTCGTCTGACGATCGGACATCGAATTTAGGTACAGGTGCAGTTGCCCAGAGGGCCGTTACGGAAGACACTGCGAACGATCCACGTTTGGATTCGAGGAACTGTCTTACATGGCTTTCCCGGCATTGGACTCCAACACGAACGACATAACTATCGTATTTGCCACTACGAAACCAGACGCGTTGCTGCTGTACAATTACGCGCCACAGGCGGGAGGACGTTCGGATTTTGTCGTGCTGGAATTGGTGGACGGAAGGGTGGTGTTCTCGTACGGAGGTGCAAGAAGCGCCATCACTTCGATCACCATAAAAACGGAGAGCTCCGTGTCGGACGGTGAATGGAGGAAGGTAACGGCAACCAGAAACGGAAGGGTAGTGTCCCTGAGCGTGTCCATGTGCAGGGAACACGGCGACATCTGCGACGATTGCAAACCAGGCGATGGCACTTGTTACGCGGACGATGTCGGACCAACCGGGTTAGTGTCACTAAAAATTCCCTTTTTCCTTTTCCTTTTTTTTTTCTTTTTTTACAGCGTGATTAAGAAAAAAAATCTCCTCAACTGCCCTTTCTAATTCTGTGTCAATGATAATTTAGATTTCTTTAACGTTTTTTCGTAGCTGTCTCTAATCACTTCGTAGCCACGTGATATTGCAAAATTATTATTATTGTTATAATTACAAAATTATTAGTATTACATAATTGTTACGTAATTATTATATAATAATAATTATGTAAATTATTATTTATTATTACGCACTGTCAGTGACAATTTGAATTCAAATATTAAGAGGAGCTTCAAGTATTAAGAAAAGGTGTATACTACTTCATCAGTTTCACTCTGGATTTTGTTTTGTGCATGTTTGGTCGATTTGGACAAATGGAACGGAATTTTACAAAAAAATAACTAATTAAACGACCTAAAATCTGTTCTTTATACGACTGAAACTACAGTATCGCGTTGCAAGATAACAACTCGGTTGCAAAGCAGTTAATTCTAAACAATAGGGTATCGTAAAAAATGTTTTGACGTTACAATGAAGACACTATACTTTGCTACTAAATATCCCAGTAAATGGATACTGTTAATTTCGTATTAATATATATATATTAATTATAAAGTATCGATATAGAAAAATTATATATATATATATATACAATTTCTATACCGATGCTTTATAATTAGATAGACTTAACAATCCTAATTACAGAATTCGGTATAAAGACTGTTGCATCTAGAAGATAAAAGAACTTTCGGTAGCCTGATTATTTCTTTGACCAACCAAAACCCAACGTTGTCACGCAATTAACATCAAACGTTTGTTTCCACAGGACCCTGAACTTTAACAACAATCCACTCTTGGTGGGAGGATTGGAAAATGCCGATCCAGTCCTCGAGAGGCCAGGGCAAGTGCACTCCGACGATTTCGTCGGATGCGTCCACTCGGTTTCCATAAATGGAAGAGCCCTGAATCTATCGAATCCACTAGCATCGCGCGGAGTGAAATCCACCTGCGTCAGATCGAAGAGCAACCCTTGCCTGAGAGGTGGCAAGGACTCGATCTCTACCTGCGGCGCGAATTCCAATTGTTACGACAAATGGCATCAGGTGTCATGCCGGTGTGGATCTGTAATCGCGCCAAATTGCGAGGGCGCGCTCGAACCGATCACACTGAGCGAGGGTGGATACGTCGAGTTCAAGGTACGTGCGAATTCTAATCGTGATCGTTTGGAATTAACTCGAATCGTTTGGAATTAACTAGAGTTATTTATTTAATTAATCAGTTAGAATTCATTTAGAGTCAGCGACAAGAGTAAATATAGCTGTGGGCTATAAAAGTTTAGGTTTGGGTTTTTCACAGTGGCTCGATTTTGGCATAGTCTCATAGAATTTTCAATGTGATTTGGTTTTATCGCCAATTGGAGAGAATATAAAGCTCGGAAGAGATTTTTGCAATATAATGGATTTAGTGGAGCCACGATACTACTCGAGAGTGAAATTAATCTTGGACAACCGGTGTTAAGCGTCTTTCTGTCACGCAGATCTCGGAAAAGCACAGAAGGATGCAGTTGCTGGAGTATCTCTACAGAGGCTCGACGATGTGGCAGAAGAACCGAGCGAAACGAACTGTCAGCGAGGACACCAGTTTCATCACTAATCCGTCACCCTTCAAAACGATCGGTTTGATGTTCAGAACAGTGAAGCCCGATGGTATTCTCATTTACGCCGCGACCAACAAACATTTCACATCGGTGGAGGTAAGAAACTCTTTCAAAAGCGATTCAGATTATTACAGAAAATTGCTCTTCTCTTCTTTTTTTTATCAGTCACTATACGGATATCTGTTGATATAATTATAACTAGTTACAGTTGTAGCCTTAATATTTCCTGTTATAACCAGTAGAGAAACACTTTCGACAACCTTTTCATAAATTATTATGAAAAAAGGAAATAGGTACATTTTCTTTCCTTCCTTCCTCGTTTCTTACTTTCTATCTACGATATACAAATATTCCCTATTATGTAATAGTGAAAGTAAAAGAATCTTTCCTTCTTTGCCGTTTTATTATTTATTATATGTCTCCTGTTACAGCTGATAAAAGTAAGAAGCTCTTTCAATAAAGAGTTCCAAATTCAATAATATATATATATATATAGTTCCAAGAGTCATAGAAGAAGAAAAGAACTTCTTTCCTTCCTTCCTTTCTTTCTTCATTCTTCATTTTTTTATTATTTATTGGATGTATCTCCTGTTATGGTTTCTCCTTTTCCATTTCAAATTATCACAAAAAAGAGACACCCTCTTCCCTTTCGTTTCTTGCTTCCACATTTTCTATCATCTATATAACATAACGTCTCCTCTTGTAGCTGCGCAATGGCCAACTATTTTACTCGTCGCTTCTCGGCTCGCCGGTGAACATGACCGCGAGCATCGAGGGAGGTTTGGCGGATGGCCACTGGCACAACTTGACCTTGCACTCCTACCTCCGAGGCTTGAGATTGTTCGTCGACGGCGTGCAAACCGGCGAGGAGCTGGATCCTGTCAGTGTCCACGATTTCCTCGACCCGTATCTGTCCGTGTTATCGATCGGTGGGGTTAGCCAAGACCTGTACTACGCACACAGCGCTGGCGCTAGGAGTTTCGAGGGTTGTTTGGCCAACTTCACCATCAACAACGAGGTCCAGCCGTTCAATGGGTCCGGCTCGATCTTCAAGGAGGTGGTCTATCACGCGAAGGTGAGCACCGGTTGCAGAGGGCCGATTGGAATCAGCGCGGCGGCCACTGCCGATCCTCTCAGCATAGGGATCACTCTGGTGATAGTGTTCTTCGTCATTCTGCTGATCGCTATACTGGTCAGTTTCATCGTGTTCCGTCTGAGGCGACAGAACAAGGAGAAGTCCGCCCCGTCGGTGGTGAACAAGAACACCAACGCGATAATGACCGGCAACCCGTTAGTTGGCTCCGGTAACGATAACCTAATGTCCCGCCACGAGAACACCTACATCTCCGACACGTCGGACTTGCGAGGAGTGGGTCACATGGGTCCGGAGTTAATCTCGAAGAAGTACAAAGAACGGGAGATCAACGCGACCTCGGAACATCGGCCGCAGAGGCCGGACATCATCGAGAGAGAAGTGACGAAGTCACCGCCCATTCGTGACGAACATCCACCGCTTCCGCCGCCCGCTCAAACCTCACTGCATTCCCACGAACACAACCCGGAGCCGGACATGCCCGAGCATTACGACCTGGAGAACGCGAGCTCGATCGCGCCGAGCGACATCGACATCGTCTATCATTACAAAGGTTATCGGGACGGCATGCGGAAGTACAAAGCCACTCCTCCGCCTATTAACAACTACGCGAACCACCACAAGCACACGGGCCAGCAACACAGGCACACAGGGCCGTTCCCACCGCGAGCGTTGCCACCACCGAACGTGAACCAACCGCCGGGCCCAACCCAGAAACTGTTACAAAGTACACCGTTAGCCAGGCTGTCGCCCAGCAGCGAGTTATCCGCCCAGCAACCGAGAATCCTCACGTTGCACGACATCAGTGGGAAACCTCTGCAAAGCGCTCTACTCGCCACCACGTCCTCGTCCGGCGGCGTGGGCAAAGACGCTTTGAACTCCAACAGCGAACGGAGTCTCAACTCGCCGATCATGAGCCAGCTGTCCGGGTCAACGGCCAGCCGGAAGGCGCCTCAATCGAACAACGAGAACTCCGTGAACAACGTGTCGTCCGGCCCGATGGGATTAACGGCGGAGGAGATCGAAAGACTGAACTCGAGGCCGAGAACCTCGAGCCTCGTGTCTACTTTAGACGCGGTGAGCTCGTCCAGCGAGGCCAGAGGGCCACCGGCGCACGGCCCTCTGCATCTTCACCGGCGGCACACGCCACCGGTCGAGAGGCTCGAACGTAGAAACTCGTCGACCACCGACGAGAGCGGTAACGACAGCTTCACCTGCTCGGAGTACGACAACACCTCGCTGGTCGGCGACAAACGATCGGACAACCCGTTCGCGAAACAGGACGACGAGGAGGTGAATCAACGTAGCAACGAGTCGTCGCAGACGACGAAACCGCCGCTGCCACCGAACGTGAACTACGACGGGTTCGACAGCTCTTTCCGCGGGTCTCTCAGTACCTTGGTAGCCTCGGACGATGACTTGTCGACGCACATGGGTGGACTGTACAGGCCGAACAACAGCGGATCACCGTCGACGACCACCACCGCGTTAAGCTGGGATTACCTGTTGAACTGGGGGCTGAACTTCGACAGTTTGGTCGGGGTGTTCATCGACATCGCCGAACTACCGGACAGTGCCAACCGCGTTCCGAGCACGCTCAGGCTACCAGCTAGTATACCTAAGCCATCCGAGGAGTACGTCTGAACCGTACACAAGACTGGACACACGCTAAGACTTTTTTTTTTTTTTTCTTTTAACCAGTAACCGAATCGCTTGAAAGAAACCTCTTCTCTTTTCTTGAAAATTGTGGGAAATGCTCAATCCAAAGTGCGCGCGAATGGAATACGCTTCAATTGCCAATTACGTAGGCCATAAAAACGTGACGAGGAGGGACACGAGCGATAGAGTAACGAAACGGACGGGTTTCAGGATTGCGAGGGAACGTTGTTGTATTATTTCTTTTTTTCTTTTTTTTTTTTTTTTTTTTCCACTGGGCCCGTTCGACAGCTCGAAATTGGTGCTCTACCAAACAATGTGTAACCGTTATCTTGCCATAATAAGAGAAGAACTCGAGTTATTCGTGATCGTGATTCTCGGACAATCGTCTCGGACTCTCGTCTCGGCGAACTGTCGCGTCGAGATGGAATTGTGAATTTGTAAATATGATCGGCGATCTTTCGAACGAGTGTTGAACGAGAATATACTTCAAACGTATCGTAGTGACTATACTTTTCATCGAATCTTGTGCATCCGAGCATCTCAGCTTGCGATCACCTTAGCAGCACTTGACGAACTTTCGCTATTAGCCACGAGTTCCATTATTTCGGGAATTCGTCGCCGATGAGAACGATTATTGTGCCACTGTATCGCCAATCACTATAAATAACTATTAAGTACTAAGTTTCTTGTAAATAGAGTATCCCTTGACGCTCTGTGCCAGATAACGACTCGATACAGTCGCACAATGCCAAAACGACGATTAAACGTTACGTTTCGTCGAGAGTCAAGCGATTTTTAACGATTTTAAAGAGGGAAGGCATCTTTTTTCTCTACGCTTTTTCTTGCGTTCCTGACGGTAGTCGTGTCGCACCTTACTCAAACGTTCAACGTTCCATAATAATTTAAATTTTTCAAACATCAACTGTTGATCAATTTTCAGATTCATTTTATTTTTTTTTTTTTTTTTTTTTCCTTCATTTTGCATTTCATCGACAACGTTGGACAGAGTGCAGCTGCCAGACTGATTTCCTTTTCCCCGCGAGGTTTCGAAGCGTTGTCATTGAATAACCATCGATATCGTCAAAATTTTGTAAATTACGCGAATGTTGCCCGTTGTAAATATCGTACGCCTGATCTGTACAAAACGTGTGAATGGACTTGCGTGTACCACTTTGTCATCGATCGTATTTGTAATAAACAAGACATTTGTAAGAAAAAAAA